AATTAATTGATTATTTAAATTGTAAAAATCGATTATTATGAATTAATGGATTATTTAAAATTATATAAATCAATTTTTATAAATTAAATGATTATTTTAAATTATTTTCCTCAATTCCAGATCCTGCTACGAAAATATATTCCTGAAAATATGCTCTAAAATCCTATTTTTGATAACAATTAATTATGAACAATACAAATATGATTTTGTATAATAAAAATGATGTTTTAGGCATATAAAACATTATGTGATGCATGACGGTAAGTTAGAGTGTTAACACTCAAAACTAGACCGCTATTTGTTATCAATTGTTATGTTGATTAATGATTATGATGAATGATTATTATGGATGATCATGAATAATGAACTAACTGATCAAAATGATTATTGATGATTCAGCCATGAGAGTAATGAATATATTGATAATTATTAAACGATTTGTATTGTTAAACGGTATCTAGAAGAACTCTAAGATATACCTATTAGTTAATTGATGTTAAGGCTATCTAGAAGACCTCTAGAATAGATCTTGTATTAGAACAGGCTTATGAAAACATGAACATTTGATGAATTAGATAAAAACGCATAAATGGGATTCATAGACCAAACTAGAGGATCACTCATTTGGGAATGCCCGATCTAATGTTCATCAATCGCTATATTGTTGTTGCCTTAACTGACTACAGTTAAGTGTCCGAATCATTTGCCTTAAACAAGTGATAGTTTAAGTGTCTGATTGCCTTAACTGACTGCAGTTAAGTGTCCGAAATCGATTGCCTTAAACTAATGATAGTTTAAGTGTCTGATTAATGATTGCCTTTTAAGAATCTGGTTATAGAAATTATGATCTAGCCTTAGACTAAGAATAGCTAAGAGCATTATTATGATCTGGCCTTAGACTAAGAATAGCTTAGAGCATTGTTATAATCTGACCTTAGATTAAGAATAATTTAAGAGCACTATTGAAATAGTATCTGAATTGAATAAAATGTATTGATATGAACTGAACAATACCAAAACTGTGAATGTCTGAAATGAACATTGTGTGCATGATATCAAATGATTTGATTATGAATTTAGATTCAGTTTATATGGATGTTCGACGCATTAGATATGCTTACTCAGCTTTACCGCTGAGCGTGTAGTGTGTTTTATTTGCTACACGCAGGTAAGCAGAAAG